GTATTTGAAATTTCAATGTTAGTTCCGGTTCTAACAGTTAGTTTTGCCCAATTGTAGCTGAACCGGAACTAAAACGAAACCTGCAAACCGAAACCCCAATCGTACCGAAAAAAAATTTCGGCTCTCCATTCTGCTTTCAACCAAACCGACAACATGCTCAAATCAGCCAAAAGCAGTAACAAAACTGACTTAAAATTCAAGCCGCCGCCCGCTTTCGTTGTAAAGCTTTTAATTATGGCCATGCTTCTTAGCACTCTGAAAGGGTAGCAAATTCTTCGTTTTGGAAACAATGTGGTCTTCTCTTTCCCGAGAAAGCGAGCTGAGTTATACATTTAGCCTGATCTCGGAAGCGTACCTTGGTGTGATGAACGTTCACTACGGACGTACTGGCACGATGGACGTAATAATACGTTGGACGTAATTCCACGGTGAACGATCAACTACACCAACCGATCAACTACATACATGAAGCGACTACATCCATCGAGCACGTGCATCTATCGAAGAAGTCCATCCAAAGGTATGCCAACACATCTTTCGAATCAGTACATCCAACGAGCCATCACATCCATCGATGAGTGTGTTCGCTCGGTGGATGTGCTGGCTCGATGGATGAGCAGGCGCCGAATCCCTAAAAACTACTAGCCAGTTCCTTTTTTTTTTTCAATATCCCGCAATATACAAACGGAGAGTAGTTTACTTTATGTCACCTGCGTGGCGTTGCCTTCTAGATGCTTTCCTTCTCGCCTGCCGCTCCTCCTCTCTTACCGCAACCTGGTTGTCTATTGTTCTAGAGCCGAAGGCGCAGGCTTTCCCCCTATATCGGAGGCTATGTACAGGCACAAGCTGTTTCCGTTTTAGAATCCTCTACTATTTTTTATTTGTTACCACTTTGTAGCAGATCACGCTTAGAGGTGAAACGCGTCAGCTAGAGTGGGCAAGATAATTAAAAAGAGCTATCTAGTGAATTGGGATGAAATAAAATACCGACGCAGGCATGCCACCCACTTTCAACTCTAAAACATTGTTAACGAGTCTACGTTTTCCGAATGTACTCGAAGGGCCAATCACTGCAATCTCAGAAGCTTTAACTGTTTGACGAATGACGAGACCAAGGCCGGCTTTCTAAAACACAGTGTCTCAGCTGAGACTGGGTGAAAGAAAGCACTGCCAAAACCAGCGCCCGAGCTGAGTGGGACTCAAGCCGCGTCTCAAGACGCTCGCGCGCCCCAGCCTATGCAGTGCTTTCTTTGACCCAGTCTCAGCTGAGACACTATTCTAGCAAGCCGGCCCAGAACGACGGTTTGACCAAAGTCTGAAGATGCTTGAAACTGACCATATGATCGTTCGAAACGTCATGCTCAGTTAAGACTGCAGTTTGGCGAGTTTGTTGTCGGTGTTGGCTGACTAACAACAATGTTGTTATCGTCAAAGTGTCTCTTTTTTAGTGTGCCTTTGCAGCTTTGTGTCGTGCTTATGTGCGCTATAATTCATAGCAGCCACGTTCAGCATATTTGGACTCAATTACACTGTAATAAAATTGATGTAATGCAAATATATTGGAACTTATTTTTGATTGTTCATCATTACATTTCACCATAGCCGGTGACAAAGCAAAGAAATGCAGGACGCGGCTTATTGTGTTCTCATTCCTCGCTTTGCCATGCGTTCTTCGGTACTCGTATTGGCATATGACATCATCCTACTGGCTGCCGAGAAGCCACACACGCGTTCCTCAAGCTGTCGGTGATTCTAAAAGCAGTTTTGTCTAGAAGTAAATTTGACTGGAAGCCACAGTAATTGCAAAATATGAATTATAATTAGAACAACTTTTTTCATGATTTTGTCCAGCTGAGCCTATATGTTGATACAGTCCCTCGCAGAAATCAATGGCTAAAATACACTTATCGTCTTTCACCTTACTTTTTTCCTACCTTGGAAGGTTCTCAAATCCACTGCGCCATTGCGCCCACCACGGGCGATCAGCTGAGCATCGAGGTGCAAACAAAAGACAGCTGTCGGATCCGATATCCCATTTCGACAAGAAAACCGGTCCGGAGAGGAGGAAACATCACGTTTCGTTCCGATGCCTTCCGATTTTTCACAGACGGCTTACTTGGCCGGCCTTGTCAGATGAGGGTGACTAACCACTGAGGACAGCCAATCATACACCTGAGGGAAGAGAGTGGACAGGCTGAAAGGAATTCCGAACCGGAAGAAAGCAGGAACAGAGGCACACTACGAAGCCAGTTTCATTGGGCGACCGCAGCTCGACGTCACTCGTCGACGTCGCTCAATTGGCCTCACGGATCAAGTTCAACCATGCTCCGGCAAGGTCCGGCTTGTATATGCGTGCAAACCAAAATCGGCTCCCTACCTCACGTCACGCCTCACGTTCTTTTGTTTTCTCTTTTTTTCTTTTTGCCAAAAATTGATGTTGGGTCCGACAGCCGATTTCGGTTTGCACAGGCCTTTAAAGTTACAACACCCGTAAAGGGGCAACGAAGTGACCAACATAAAGTGCGTGAGCAGTATCTCTTATAAAAATGGAAAGAGAAAAAAAACATGTGATGGCGATATTTACATTCGATACATCACCGCCAACTGCAGATTAATTTCGATGATGATTGAGAGTTTGAGGTAGAATATTGATACTTTCATGGCTTTCATTCCATTTGATACTTTCATGGCTTCCAAACTCTATTAAAACATTTCCTCGGAGCGGTCGTGATAAACGTTACACTAACAATACTCGGGGTTATGTAAGAATGTTAGATTCCGCATACTGAATCATTAACGTCGAAGATAAGAAATGAACAGGACATATTTCATTGCTAAATACTGCTATTAAATTTTAATAATGAAAGTCGGATAGCTGTTAAGAAAAGCGATCCAGAGGTAACAATTTTTAAAGGGCAATTCATAATCATAATTAACTTCTTTCGGAGCTTATGCATTTTAATTGCAGTTAGATTACCTTGACGAAGTAATTTACCCAAGTATGACTCTGAATGCCGCATCGCCAAGTGTATCTTATGATCAAAACAAGTACTTCGTTCGACTTCCCTTGATAGATCGCAGTTCTTGACACCCCGAGTGTTCTGCAGGAAAGTGGGACGCACGATCATTTCTACAGCACGGTACAACATTTCAGTTATCTCCGCTTAGATGACAATATTTGGTCAGAACGTTTTTTGTGCGTCGACTGTAGGCTTTATCCCCAGAAATTCGCGGCCGGCAGCGATTTGCTCTCTATGTATTTTAAGATAAAGGAGATACGATGGCACTTATCTAAGGCTTTTACGTTGTATGTACACTCTACGTAAATTTTCAGTCTGTTTGAGCTGTGCAAGATGATATTTCGCCCCGTGCGCTGGTGTTTCAGTGCACGCACCTGCCCCAATAATTGTGTGGCTGCATTATTAGGTACACATGAAGCCACTCGATGGGAACGTTTTTCTGTCATCCTGAAATTAGTACACAGCCACAATGTCTGCGCGAAAAGGTCGCTTGATGATTGTTCCAAGTTAACAAGAGGAAATCTAACAGCTGCGTGCAGATAACCTAAAACAATAGGTGAGTGGCCGTGTGTTTAATCTAATGGGCACATTTTCACAATTACCGGGCCTATAGCAGCAGAACGGCTGCCAGTGTCTAACATATTGCTATACAACTGTTTTCTTGTTTTTATTCGATCGAGTTTTTAAAGGCTCGTCTTATTACGCCTCCTGAAGTAGCCTGATTAGTAACGGGGGCGTTTAAAAGTTGCTAAGAGCCAAACATTCTTCAGAGTGTGAAGGTTACAAACTTAAAGGTTTTCGGCGACGGCCTTTAGTGCATTTATCATAGAGAATGACTAAGGAAGGATTCCATGGGTTAGGGACGATCGTCTTCTGGTGGTTTTTGCTTGGCTTTGCACTAATATGGCCGGATCTCGGGAGAAACGCCGTTGCTGGGTGAGTACAGACACAGTTCTTTTGCTATCTTTGCGGTCAAAACTTGTAAAGAAATTTTTGAAAATCTTCATTGTCTACTAAGGCATATAAACCGCAGTAAATTACCGGTGAATGACAACCTTCTGAGTCCGGCGCAGTTCTTACATGATCAAAAAAATTTCTTAACTTTTTTTTTTAATTTTTTTTACGGCCTGCCGAGTAGCGTTGAAAAACGCTACAACCCGTCATTCCGTGATATATCTGCTGAAAATATTTAGGCGAGAGGAATAAAAGTTCCTCTTTCAGAACGTCATAGAAACATAAATATTTTTTTTTTCATGTGGTTTATAAGATCATGTGCAAAAAAAAAAAGCGCTAATGTACTCAAGCTCAGTTATCAAATTTCCGCCATATTGGGGTTCCCGTACTGATAGTTTCGCCTGAAAGAATAGTCCCGACAAATTAGGAGTCGTAGATCTAAAATAGGATCACGTGCTGCCTATCTAGCACGCACCCTTCACACAGCGTCTTAGATAAAGACCGTTCACTGACCTGGATGGCCTAACTCATGCACTGCTAAGTGACGAGTCTTGCGACCTCCTTGCTGACAAATCCTTTTCCGAAATTTCGCAGACGTGTTTTGTTTCTTCTTTGAACCAAAACTAAACAGCAACCCATTGAATGCACAAATGTATACCGAACAGTATCATGAAAATCCAGTTAAATGCACATGCGTCTCGTCCACAACTGTAAGATGTGAAAAAGAAAAGAAAAAATAACATAGAATATGTTGGCTTTGATTTGCACGATGATGATAACTGGTAAGAATATGACCTATTGTTTTCTCGGCGCATCTAAATAACTACGCACGCAGTGAGAAAATATGCAAATGTTTTCAAGCAGAAAAATATATACATACCGAGGTTGTTAACAGTGGAAGGTATAGTGGTCATCAAACTTATGGAGGTGTGTCGTATTCTCCGGCGAGGGCTAGATTGGTGCCACATTGGAGGCATCCAATCTAGTCACGTGGGAAAGCATGGAAAGTACCGTGCCAGGGGTGTGATGCCAATAAGGTAAGCCTCGCGCTCTTCCACCCAAACGTCGTCACTTGTGCCAGAGCCGTACATTGGAAGAATTTGGCCGTTTAAATAGGTGAGCATCTCGTGGCCAACCGTAGGCCGCGAAACAACCCCTAGCGGTGGTCGTGAGCTCTAAAAATGCCACTCGACAAATTCAAGCCGTTCTAGCGTCGCTAGTGTAAAAAGGTGTAACTCTTGGTGACTGAAAACTTGGCGCATGTGAGGTTTTCGTCACGTTTATATTCGAAGGTATACAATAAATGGACGCGCGCTCCAAACCAGAGCAAACTGCGTAGTTGCGATCATTACTACTGCGAAATTGAACGCTTCTACTTCACGCTTTAAATGTCGGTGTCGATATTGTGACGTCAAGGTCTGCTGGTTGGTCGACGCTGTGTCGCACTTTTAGTGTACGCTCTAACCGCGGGGGAAATATTCGGCGCTGGCGGCGGTCTTTACTCGCCCATTGGCGAAACTCTCCCAATATACGGCTTTGACTAGTGCATCCACGTAGCGCCACCTAGCTCGCGTCAGCAGTGCCGCCAGCGCGTCTCACAGCGAATCACAACGAACAATGCACGCAGCAACGCCAATATCAGCGCCAATATGGACGCGTCTGCCCCCTTGCGGTGACTCTCGTCGAGCTTTCGCTTGTTTGCCACTTGGGGCGCGTCAGAGATCCACAAACGATGACTTCACCCCCAGGCCTTGCCTTTTAGGTGGTAGTCCTGCCCGGTCCAACCAACGCCCCCGAACGAAGGAGGCTGCTCGTATGATCTCCACGCCTGATTTGGTCCGCATACTTGCTGCGCGCTATCGTGTACATATACGTGCACGATAGCACATGTGTGTTGACGATAATAATCCCAAGAAAACAAAGGACCTGCACAAATCTCCAAACACAGCTATACTCCATATCACCTCACGTCCGGACGCAGCGAACCCTACGAGCTATCTTAGCCAATCCCAGACTTGTACGTAGTTCAACTACTCTACTCAAGTTACTGTAGTTTAACAACTTTTTTTAGAAGTTTAGTTTCAATTAGATTTTTATTTCGGTAATTTTTAGTTTACTTTAATTAGTTTCGCGAGTAACTTCTACTCAAATTACAAATTACTTTCCAATTTAGAGGTAGGTTTCCTTATCAACGTACACTCCTGCACAAAAAGAATATACGATGTTGGAAGATTAGTTGATATTTGCAAAGAAGGAGAAGCATGCTAAAATGTAGGTTTTGGTTAGTTGATTAATGAGCACTTTGGTTTAAAACAACGTGACAAGACAAGGACAAAGTGTGTGGCGTTGGCAGGGGGGTAGTGGTTTTCGAAAGTCCGAAGCCCCCTCAAATTTTCACTAGCCCCCCCCCCCCCCCCCATTGCCACAAGTGAGGCCGAGCAACTGTGGGATTAGCGCCAACGACTTGCCTTTCTTGGCGTCCCGAAGCTTAAAGGAGCTGTGCAACGATTTCAGAGCTTTGCTTAAATAATTTGGGAGTTGGTGTTTCGACCATTCTGAAGTAACGAACAAAAAAAAAACGCTTTTGCCTGCATGTCCTAGTTTTTATCATAAAAAAAGACAAAGAGGAGAGTTTTTGGCATCTCTCAACTCCTTCACCGTCTTCGGAGTCCCGTGCTCTGTGACGTGAGTGGGGGACGCGCAGGGTTCCGGTGAAGCTCTTTCTCTAGAGCCATCAGTGAGCAGCGAGAACTCACCCGCTCGCGACCGCAACATGGCGAAAGGAAGGAGGTCTCGTCCGGGTCAAGCCATCCCCGTCCGGCTCTGCCCCGTCCCCCTCGCGCTTCTGGGGTGTGTTCGCGGTAGCAGATACCGCTGACGGTTTTGTTGACCTCGGATTGATGGTGCCAGTAAAACTCCGGATAATAAAAGTTTTGACGATAATACCAGGCTTTTGACGTATTTATATTTATGTTGGAACGACAATATTTGGAGAAAAATTACCTTTTATCCAGCAGGTATTTGCACAACTTCCTATCTTTTAGAAGTCCCCCATTGACGTCATGCCGCGTGGTTCTCATGGCCGCCACTCGCGGCTGCAGGTCAGGAAATATTGTAATTTTTGCCCCGCGATTACGCGGCGGAATCACAACATTTTGAAGGAAGGATATGTGCTTTCTGTCCTTCATGACAAGATAAAAAAAAGTCAAAAGTAGAATATGCAAATTTTTCCAACGTTAAACTTGTAGGTTCAAATGCGTTAAGGAGACTTGACGCATTTGAAGAAAGGACTTGTCCCTGCTTCTCCCCAACGTATGAACTTTCTCCCACAGGAGGAAGTGTGCACACTGCATCCTCGCTCAAAGGAGGCAACAATATGCAGCACCCGCTCTGAAGCTCATGTGGTGCTCTTGTAGTTTGTGCTGTACTTGAAGAATCGCGTGTTAAAAGGCAACGCAAAGGTGACCTCTTTGCATTGCCTTTCCTCCCAAGACTCAGAATATGCAGGTGTCCCACATCCAGAGATCGTTCGAAAGACATTAATTATTGTCCCAACGTGTTTAAATAAAAAAATATTAATAAACAAGCAGTGTTGGCAAGTACGTTTTGGATGGGCCATCGTGCATGGGTCATCGCTCGTGGGCCATGCACCAAAAGTGCGAGCTATCACGCACGTATCCAACGTGCTTTTTTGTGTTTTTTTTTTTTGCCATGAGATTTAGTTGACCTAGTTTGTACATTTTAGTTTATTCTCCAATTAAAAAAACGCAGTTTGTTTTAACAAAGTTTGAAGACTGTTAGGTCGCCTGGATGCATGAATGGATTGAGAATGGTGCTGCGGTTCGGGTGGTAGCGTGCGCCACCTAGCATGCCAAACCTCGACTAGGCTAGACATGACTAGAGGGCCCGACAACTTTACATTTTCTATAGGGCCCTGGAGCGCTCACTGGTGGCGCTGGCGTTTCCAGAAAGGTCAATTCACCCATTGGATTATGTTATGTTTTTTTTTCTTGAAAAATCTGTGAATAATTGTAAGAGCGGGTATATAATAACTTTGACGTTTTTCTACATTTGTGAACCACTTAGGATGTGACTCCAAACTCGATTACACAAACGTAAAGTCAAGGCAACTGCTGCTACTTATTCCATAAAGATATGGGGAACTTCCATCATTCAGGGGGTATAGTCGATGAATATTCGCTATATCAGCAAGCCACCTCCCACGGTCCTTAAAGGGAAGCTGAAGAGGCCCTTGGTTTTATATGAAGAGTAAAAGCTGTAATTTAGGCACCTTAAAAAATTCTCTTAATTTTTCTTTCGATATTTTTAGTAGGAGTGTCGTAACAGCCAATTAAAATTTCGACGTAGACCCGCCCGCTGCGGCGTGCCGAGGGTAGGAAAGCGCGAGGGCTGAGAAAACAACTAGCAAAAGTGACGTTATCAGCAGGGTACCGTTGCTCGCACCTAAGCTGGCTCGGGGATGTCGACATTTTTTTCTAACGTTTTAGTGCGCTGGAGCAGGTGGTCTGCTGTGAAGTTGCTTGCTGAGGCTGAGGAACCTCAGCAGGTACTCGGAAAATTTCAGAATTTGGTGGGGGTGCATAGCGCGTTACATTTCTTCCATTCATCATGTTGGAGCGGAACGCTGTGAACACGGCTTGCTTCAGTGAACACCCAGAAGAAGTTGCTGGATGATTCCTGCCAGAATTAACGCATTGAAGTTTGTGCAGTCCTTGTTACGATGTTGTCCTGCACAGTTCATGCGGTGTTGTGGTCCTTTGCAGTATTTGGCAACATGACCGTATCTTTGGCACTTGAAGCACTGCACAGGAGCTCCGAAATCTTCCTGGACTGGGTGACTTGTGAAGTTCACGTGAAATGATCTTTTTCTGCATCACCGCAATAATATATTTTGCTATTGAGTCTGGGTTTTCTTGCTAAAGCAATCTGGATCCTGTTGCCTTGAAGCTCATGTGGAAGCCAGGTGGTATGTTTTTTATGTAACTTGAGTAAATGGTGTTGAATCCTCGTTGTCGTCATTCGCGTCAAGGGAGTAGTAGCACGACGTCTCGTCGTCATCCTTTGCAGGTGTTTCATCCATGCGCACCCTTTTAGTAGGGATCATGACGTCTGTCTCATTAGGATCTGGAGGACCCAAAAGCACAAAAAACGCAGACGAGAAAAGGACACATACAACACGGTCTGGCGCTAGTGCGTTTGTTCTAAGTCGAGTGCACATGATTCGTCGAAGTGCTGCTTGTTGGATGATGCCAAGATGCGGATCGGGACTTTGTAGCCAGCGGCCGCTCTTGTATCTTACGACTTCACAGTGCATAAACGTCTCACAAACAGGCACTCGCTCGATTACCGACACAAAAATATACACACAGAGTCTAATGCAGTATCTGAAGGTCCGCACTTGGCAGACACAAATGGCGATCAAGGTGACACCTCTTTCAGCTCACGGCAATGTGTCGTTGCCCATTTTTGGCCAGCGAGGCGCCGAAGTGCACTATCGCTAATGGTAATGTGTTCAGATGTAAAAAAAGTACGTAGTAAAGAATGCGATTGCTTACAAGACGTGCCAGCAAATCTGACTTACTACACTAGGCACTTCTTTTTTTACACCTTTGCACCTCCAAGTGGACAGTTTCATGTTTCCCACGTAACTAGATTATCTACAGCGAAACCACCCACCTTGAACTTCAAAGGAAAAAAAAAAGAGCTGTCCAATCTTCCCGATTTTTATTGAACACGACTTCGCGCGCCATTGAAATGCATACGCTGAGGCATCAATTCTGGGCATCCTGTACAGTGCTCTCACACTCAATAAAATCGACCTCTTCATGACAAAACCAACATATCCCTATTCAACAACTACTCCTTCCTTCTAAAATGATATACACTTTTTCCACGCAGCCAGGGCACCTTGGTGTCTGATTACTTCGGCGCGGGCCAGCCCCTATTCCTGACTCCTTTGATCGACAAGAAGGAGCTGGACAAGGCCAGGGCTCAGAGCCGCGTGGGATACCTGGGCTTCGTGAAGGACGTGCCCAGTTACTCTGGCTTTCTGACCGTGAATCCGAATACGGGCAGCAATATCTTCTTCTGGTTCTTTCCTGCCATGGTAAGAGGCAAACAGATTCGGGGGTCTAAGTTCGAATGTGAGTGAAGTGAATCCTCGGCACTTTGAAGGGACCGCATAAATGGGTTTCTTAAGGCATTGCGCTAAGAGCTTGCACAAAGGTGGCCGAAGATGGCGCATTTTGTTCATCAAGATTTTATATAATTTACGTGCCCGAGAACAAAAATTAAGAACCTGATGCCGCCACCTAAGGCGTCTGGTTGGAAACAGCCATGAGGAAAATAAGATCGTCTTCCTTCGTCTACTGTCATAGGCATTGCTAAAAAGGTTGACTTCTTATGGCGAGAAAAAAACATCCTTAAAGAAGCTGTTAATAAAACATCGGCTCTTTTTTCGAGACTTCTATACGAGGTTCTTTCTTAGGTTTCTCTGCCGACTTCGACGTGAAACTTGGTGATTTGTTAATAGAAGTTTTACTCTGCTTTGAGTGCGACTCGCATGTCAGTAAACGCAGAGCAACATCTGTCCTGACGTCAGTAACGTGAATTACACGAATAGTGATTGAGAAAGTGATAACTACAGATGTTTGCGAAGCAATCGCAAAAATTGCCAGAACCGACTGTCAATCCGTAAGCCGGGGTCACACGGCTTATTCGCGACGAGAAGTTCGGGCATCGGCCACCTGGTGGAATTTTTCCACAATCAAGAGTAAGGATACTTCAACCTCCACTGCTGGTGCAAGCAAGTGCAATGCCAAGCTTCTATGCATTATGAATATTAAAACATAAACGCGTGGGTAGCAGGTGCACTACCCATTGGCGACGTGAGCGATTGAAAGCGCCGCTGTGGTCGGCCCACCCCAATTGGCCGAAAGCTGACTATGATGTCAGCAAAGGATTTATTATCGACGGAAATAAGAGGAAGGCAAGAACTTCAATTTTGACGGTGTTGGCAGTGTTGCTTTGAGAGCGCTATGGTTTCAGTCTTCCACCATGCCTATTACAAACACCATCGAACTTGTTGTTCACAAGGTAATGACGTCACGAAGGGTAACCGAACGAGGGCGCCACCAAAACATCTCGCCGCAGCGCCCCTAACGAGCTTCTCACCACGAATACATCATACAAAGGCCGTCTGCATGCAGATTCGAACGCGAATCACCGCGAAAACCGTGCTTCGAATGCCGAATGGCCATGAGTTCAAAAAGAAACTTGGCACGCAGAATTCGAACTACGGATATTGCTGTGACTCGTGTTTGCAGACTGTCTTTTGTATGATGTATGAGCAGTGTGGCCCCGACTTATACCCCTGTTACACGGGCACACTTAACCGCGGTTAACTCAACTTAACTGCTGTTTCGCGGCACCACAGATACCGCACTATACTCTCTGACAGCTATATCAGAAGAAGTGAAGAGCGCGGGCGCACTGCTTCGATAGATGCTCAAGATGCTCGAGCGCACGTTCGCCCATAGCTTTGAATGCATAGCCGCAGAATGTTGTCCGCAAGTATTGTGCGCTATCTGTGGCTTAGCGTAACTGCAGTTAAATGTGCCCGTGTAACAGGGGTATTAAAGGGGTCATGAAACGATTTTCCTACTTCTTCCTCCTTAGCTTTAATGCTCAACTCAAATGCGAATTGTGAAATCACGTGGTCGTGACATTCCTTCGGCACCGGTGCGATTACTCCTAGCTTCCACCGTGCTTTTTAAGCACACCATAGAACTTGTCATTCCCCAGTGACAATAAGTTCCGTCAGGGCTCTCATTGGCCACGAACGCGAATCCAAATATTCGTCGACGGATTGATTGTTGACGAGCGCATACGTCCGAGTGACGCAGTTCTCGTGTTCAATGCGTGAGCTGGGCTCTGTTGACGTCAGTCTGGCGCCGGTGACGAGCTTTTGGAACCGCGGATGTATCATAGTGAAAAGGCGGAGAGCTTTCGAAGGCAAGAAGGTACAAAATAGTCCGCTATATTTTCAAATGTTCGTACCGAAAAGCTGGCTTTTGACTTTCTAACCTCTTTCTTTTGGCCAACTAAACGATATGCGATTAGTAAAGTCCCAATTTAAAATCCTTCATCCCAACCCAAAATTCGTTTCATGGTCCCTTTAAAGGGGTGATGAAACAATATCGGGTTGGAATTTTCATGACTTTGCAGTGGCTACTGGTCCTAGTCTGGCCCAAGTATACTCGCACAGACCACCACTGATTCAGAAGCTACTTTGTCGCGGTGAAATTGCGATAAGAAAAGGGGACTATTTATTTAAGTATTGCCTTCGCAAAGCTTGATGACGTAATTGTGAGATCGAAACCACCCAGCTGACGAAAGTCGAGCGCGGCTCATGAATTGAATGCAAAAACTGCGTGAGCATTAGACTTCGGCTCGTATAGCCAATTACAGGTTACGAAAAGTTTTCGAGGGAAAGGAAGGCTGAGGAGGAGGAAGAGGCTTCCTTCTCTCCTCTCCAGCATTATATTTGCTTCCTCCTCGTGCCCTACCCATATAACAACTATAACAATCAATGCCTTGGCGAACACTCGGGTAGTGGCTTGTGTCCAACCTCGGTAATGAGAATAGCCAAACTCTAACAATGCCTGGAGCTCCCAAGCACGCGTTTTCTACTTTGCCGACCCCAGCGCGTGGCTATGATTAACGTTGGCGACATGGGTCCAGGCCATGTGGCCGCTTGTTCTGGCTCTGAGTTGACGGGATGAACGATGCTCATATTTCTCGAATTTCTTTGGTGATTACCATTGCCTAGAAAGAAAAACGAAGTCACGTATATTTAGTTAATAATTTTATGAAGTGATTCTATGTAGTATTTAGCGAAAGATAAAAATCGTTTCATGACTCTTTTTAAGTCGCTGTCCCATCAAACACATACAAAATACGTGATGTTCGTTTCAGACATGATGAGAGCATTGTCTGCGGACATGCCTCATGCATGTTCGAAGCATGTTCGCTTCATACATCTGCGTCCTTTAAACAGTTTTAGGGAATCGTTTTTGCACATCCCATACGGTACGATCAGCCCTCCGTTACGCACTGCGCGTTCGCTACCACAGAAGGCTCGCATATGCACAGTTAGTACCGGAGGGGCCATCGTGCCATATCGGACGTGCAAAAACGGTTCCCTAAAAGCCCCTAGCATTTGCATGCCCTGTGTGACAGCAAGGATCGTTATACAAGGATGAGACACGTCTCAGACATTGTCTGCAAACTGTCTTTTGTGTGAATGTATGAGCGGTTTGACCACGGTTTGAAAGGGCTGCGATGACATGTTTTCTTGAGAGGTCTTGTCCACCGGCTCCGCAGGAGAACCCCGAGACTGCTCCCGTGCTCATGTGGCTGCAAGGTGGACCCGGCAGCTCTTCCATGTTAGGCCTGTTTGTGGAACACGGGCCGTACTATGTAGCCAAGGGTGGCGTCCCGAAGTTGCGAAAGACTACGTGGGCGCGGCGCTATTCTATGCTCTACGTGGACAACCCCGTGGGTGTGGGCTTCAGCTTCACGCAGGAGCCCCAGGGCTACACTCGGAACGACACCGACGTCGCCCGAGATCTGTTAGAAGCATTGCAGCAGTTCTTCACACTCTTTCCCGAGTACGTCAAGAATGACTTCTACGTCACTGGAGAGTCCTACGCCGGTTCGTATATTCAGTCGTTTCTAATCGAGAATTTTTTTTCGAAGGTTATGTGCTGAAACAGTAGTCAGTTGTAGCCATTGAAAGGTGAAGAAACAGGGGTTTACTGATTATGATCGACCAATCTTCTGCTTAATAGTTCACGTGTAAATATTTCACTGCCTATTCACAGGGCAGCAGTGTTTAAAGAAAACTAGAAACATTTAAATTTTTTACGCGCCGGTACATTAGTGACTCGCTCTGCGCGGAAACAACTGTGTTTCATGGAAACAGGTCACTCTTATCATTAGCCTTGAATGTAAAAAAAAATCTTAATTTATGTCACAAGACAGCTTTTGATTGGCTTACTAGGACCTCCTTGCTCCCAAAGAAAGATTGTGTCCGTAAATGAAGGGACGCTTGACCGTGGCTTGCATTACGCAGCAAGCAGATTGAGACCATTAGTTTGCGTAGTCCTAAATGTAACGAAACAATGGAAAAATACGTGTCAGCAGCTTTGTGCCTCATATAGATGTATCTCAAGAATACCCAACGGTGTGGGAACGTGATCATTCACATTGTAGAATGGTAGACTGCGTAGACATCACGTGGAAGGATAAAACTCGATACCTACTGTTTAGTGACGTAGTATGAACGGCTATGTTTAAAAACTGTGAACTAGAGGGCGACAAGTGTAACACAGATAGATTATTGTGTTACAAAACAAATAATGTTAGGATGTACTTTCATACGCACAGTGCGAGTTGATGAAGTATTTGTATCCGAAGAAAGTAAATAAAATATTTCCGAATTCCTTACTCGGGGACAACTTTCTGTGGCATTTTCGCAGAGAGGAGGCGTGCGCGTGTACACCTTTGATCGGCGCTCAAGCACGCTCTCATGCACATTTGACTGCATAGTCACCGCGAGTTGTTCCGGAGCAATAGTTTATGTAATTTGTTGTTGTTGCTGGTGTTTTTTGTCTTTTTTGATAATTTTAAAAGAACTGCAGTTGTTGTTTTTATTGTTAACATTGCCCAATAAAATAATGACATGGCCTGAGGATATTGCACATTTTAAAGCTAAACTGGGTGAGTTTATGCTCCTCATTCTTGAAGAAGCTGACTAGTTTAATTTATTATTCTTCTCGCGCTGAAATATCTTTTTTAGGCAAATACATCCCCGCTATTGGATACGTCATCGACACCGCCGTCCAGCCGCGCGTCAAGATCAACCTCAAGGGAATCGCCATCGGCAATGGCGTAGTCGACCCCGTCACAATGATGGATTACGCGGACTACCTCTACGGAATCAGCCTGGTGGACAGAAACCAAGCAGCTGCCATTCGACAGAAAACAGATGCCGCCGTCGACTTAATCAAACAAGGGCGCTATCTAGACGCGAATGATGCGCAGGAACCCGTCTTCGACGGCAAGCCGAGCATGTACGAAAACTTTACCGGCTTCACCAACTACTATAATTACCTGTACTCCAAGACGCCCGCGGATCAAGGATATTACAGTTCATTTCTTCAGACGACCCGAGTGCGCAAGGCGATCCACGTCGGAAGCGTCAATTTCTCCGACTTTAACACAGTGGTGTACGATAATTTTGACGGAGATAAGATGGCGTCTGCGAAGCCGTGGTTCACCGCTCTACTGGAGAGGTACAAGGTTCTCCTGTACAGCGGCCAGCTGGACGTCATCGTGCCGTACCCCTTCACCGAAAACTTCCTCGCTTCCGTCAATTGGTCCGGGGCGAGTGCGTTTGCGGACGTGCCCAGGCGGGTCTGGAGGACTCCAGGAGGCGACGTCTACGGCTATGTCAGAAAGGTGGCCAACTTTACCGAGGTCTTGGTCCGAAACGGAGGACACATCCTGCCCTACGATCAACCCGAGGCGGCGTATGACATGATTACGAAGTTTATAGACGACAAGCCTTTTGTTTGAACGACCAAGGAAGGTGTTGACTGAACGACCGCATCAGGGTTCCATTTATTGTGAGTTCTCATGTGAATTAATCGGTTATTTTGTTTGCTCTCAAATCCCCATTGTGTCTGTCTTTATGATGTACCGCGGCTGGTCAACCAGCTTGCTTGGAAAAAGCGTCACGTAATCGCTCTGTCCCTCAGCCGTGATTGTATAATTGGCAGGTTTTAAATTTTAAGCAACAATTAGTCAACGACCATTGATCGATTGTCTATTTGGCGAATTTGACCAATATGACCAATATTGAGGCTAAAAGAAGTGTTCCAGCCTCAGCAGTAATTCGGAATTATTGGCGTTTGGGGAACACAATCCTTGGGAATCGCAGAGTCTCAGCGACAAAATAGAATTACTATAATGCAGTTATATTATTTTCTTCATTGGTTTGTTTGAAATACAATTTAATTAAGTGTCCTGGGCTAACTGCAAAACTAGAAGAGAAGATACAAACAAATGTATATGCCTTTTTACTTAAGTCAAGCTACCTGCTGCTAAGTACTATCTTCCTTGGTGATTGTAAAGTGATATTTATGTGCTATTTACGTAAAAATTTGTGTTTAATGCGCAATAAAACAGTTATCCTAAAACTAAAAAAAACATCATTGTGTTCTGACTGATTTCTCGTAGGCCATAGGAACGTGAAAACGGAGCAAAACGAAAAAGGAATATTATTTAGAACGGTTATGAAATAAGGTAAACAAACAACTATAGAATAGCTTCTGGAAAAGGTTTTCTTTTTTTTTAATACTTCTTTAAGAACAAGTTTCCGGTTGTCTATTTTAAAAACATGGCGTTACAGAGAAGGCCGCCAGAGATAAAGCTTTTGATGTTGAGTTTCACAGCTATAGGTATGGTGACCTTAACAACCCGGGGTCATTTTTTTTATTTATTTATTAGCTAAAACCTTTTCAGAGATTAACACATCAATCTATTCGCCGGTAGGCTGTTCAATTAATTCCACGGGTCTAAAATTAAAATTTATTTTGATTATTCTGGTATTGGTGGAAATATTTTTATGGTTTTCATAAACGAGTTATTTACGTTAATATTTCTTATTTTCTGATTGATTGGCGCATTTTTATTTTGACACGTATCTCAAGGCGGGCGGGATAAAACGGGAATAAAATCAGCTGACGAGGTCCCAACCCTGCAATAGCAGTAAACAACTGCCTTCATGAAAGTGCATCTATGAGTTCACTACCCAGAGACAACAGCGGCTAGCTTGCGTCTCGAACAACTACTGCAAAGGTTCTCGGCTACAACACCATATATATATATATGGCACCATGACAGAACAGCGCACGACAAAACAGCACGCGACAAAACAGCACGGTCAAAACAGCACGCGTCAAAACAGCACAGCGTCAAAACAGCACGACGACAAAACAGCACGCGTCAAAATAGCATGCGACAAAACAGCACAACGTCAAAACGGCACAGCGACAGAAGAGCACGTGCCAAAACAGCACAACGTCAAAACAGCACAGCGTCAAAACAGCACGGTCTCAAAACAGCACGGTCTTAAAATAGGACATTGACAATATAGCTAGGGTTTGGCATTTTCAGTTTTTATTATTTCTAAATTCGGCTTACCTTTTTCGGTTTTTATTCGAAACAAATTTTCGATTTATTGCTATGTATATTTGTAGACTCATAAACTTCTCGGTTCTTTTCGGTTTATTGACGAAAACCAGTATACTGCCGAAAATGCAGTCTTGAAAAGCGTTTGTTTGAAATGTATGGTGAATAAACCAGGTATTGATTTTCTTAATTATTTCTGTCTGTGGCAGCCGACGTGACCTGTTCTGCAAGGCGCACTGGGACCCTATCGTGATCTGATATTATCGTCGTGTGCTTTCGTTTGTACGTACACTGGACGAACATGAGCTTCACTACCACTTCGGTCGGAGAGCCAAATTTCAAGATCCGGAAATTTGCAAGCATTGTACTTAGTGCGTCTTTTCCCCATTTTCGCGACTGGGAGGGGTGGTAAATTCACGCCGACCACAGAAACGACAATAAAGCAATCGTATGCAAGCCCTCCTCTAGTAGACGGAAGCTATAGAGCTGTTAAAAATGTGGGGCATTTATGGACGTTCTTGATTTTCATTGTTCAGTTCACGATGAAACTCTCTTCTTTGAACAAAGAATTCGCAACACAACCAGATTTCGGTCTGAAGACCCCTGGGCCCCCGGAGCTTTTGTTGAACATTGAACCGATCTCGGAGACAAGCTGAAAACTGCGAAAGGAAGTGACATACGGTCAGTAATGCCTCTCTGCCTCTCCGAACTTCCTCGAAAATACTGACCTTTTTCAGTTAAAACCGAATTTGATAAAAAATAATTCGGCGAACTTTTACCGGTTTTATTCGGTTTAAGCCGAAAACGCTGAACCCTAAATATAGCGTATGTAGTTAAAAAATAATGTATATCTCAAAGTAGGCACTGTAAAATAATGGAGGGTCAAGGCCAATTCGTCGAAAGCCAACTCGTCGACGGCCAATTCGTCAAATCCGTTTTCTTGGGAGCAAGTTCGGGGTGGGGAGTATACTCGGTGGGCACATGAAGGCTCCCTGGACAGTACCGAAGCCTTTACTTGTGCGTATTCTGGCTATTTTTCGAGCAGTTCTGCTAATTTTGACGCGCAAGTTTGCTGGCAATGTCGTCTACAAAAAAAAAAAAAATAATAACGAATTAATTGGACGGGTTAGCGTTGTCGTTAGTTGTTAAAAAACAACAACAACAGAAAGCGTGTGCGGCAACAGTGTGCTCAGCCCATGCTGTACGGCAGCAGTATTGAGGCTGTGGCATGTTTCTGCTTTACCGGTTTTCACTAGATCGAGGCCTTCGTCGGAAATAATCTGTAAATTTAATTTAAAACGACTTCTCGCCTGCAAGCTGCAGCCGCGTGTTTCCCGGACATTTTATTCACAGCGAATGAACCACGCAGAATCGGTGCCAATGGTACACCTTGAATACGCTCGACATTAAAGTCACCTTATCTTACCGGTTCTAACAATGCATCTGTAATCAACGCATCTCCCGCTTTTTATTATTTTTTTTTGGGGGGGGGGGGGGGGGGGGGGCGCGGTGGGGGTGGGGGGCGGGGGGGGGGGGGGGAGGCGTTTTACGCTTAGGTGGTAATTACGAAACGGCGAGTACTACGGAACGTCACCGGACCGCCGCAAACCAGGCGGTTCATAACTTGAACTTATGGATTTCTTGTTCCCAATAACTTTTCCGCTTTCGCTGGTCCTACAAAAAAAGACCAGACAACGCGGCCAACATCGACGCGAACATATATAACCTCTAACTACCCAATCTCTTCAAGTATGCCTCCCTCCTTTATAACCTAGCACCAAAAAATGAAAGGGTCAAGGAGGTTCAAAGTTATTCGCGCAGAGAGAGAGGTGAAGAGCGCGCTCGAAGTTGCTACATACGTGCTGTTTTGTCGCTGTGCTGTTTTGACGCCGTGCTGTTTTGGGGCGTGCTCTTTTGTCGATGTGCTGTTTTGACGCTGTGCTGTTTTGTCGCGTGCTATTTTGACGCGTGCTGTTTTGTCGCCGTGCTGTTTTGACGCTGTGCTGTTTTGACGCGTGCTGTTTTGACCGTGCTGTTTTGTCGCGTGCTGTTTTGTCGTGTGCTGTTCTGTCGCGTTCCCATATATATATATATATATAGGGTTAACATTAAAAACGAGCGTGTTGGTAAATACATAAACAACCGGAAAGAATAAACACAAAGAACGCAGGCCAAATCGCTACTACGAAAACTACTCATCCCAACGAAAAAAGGCTTGTGGCGTTGTGGTCCTAGGCCAGGGGCCCATTTAAGAAAATTATTAAAGTCCGGGATAATTAACTCGTTAATTATTTTTGCCTAATTAACTTTTTAATACTGTGTTTAAGGACATGGTTTAAATTAGAAAATTGCTCAGCATCACCGAAAACCACTAAACCAACAAATTGCGGAACGATAGAAGGCACGCGAAGCATTTTACGGCTTTCTGAAAAACCGCACAAATTCGACGGGTTTTAAAGTTTCGGTTTGTTATCGGAGTGCATCTCGGCCCCGGCAGCACCGCGCCGCGTGGAGAGATAATGCAACCAGACTCTGCTGCGTCGTGCGATGACAGCGCAGCAGAGGTTGGTTGCACTATCTCTTCGCGGGGCGCGGTGCCGTCGGGGCGGAGACGCGCACCGATAACAAACCGAAACTTAAACACCCGTTGAATTTGTGCGGTTTTTCAGAAAGCCGTAAAATGCTTCGCGTGCCTTCTATCGTTCCGCAATTTGTTGGTTTAGTGGTTTTCGATGATGCGGAGCAGTTTTCTAATTTAAACCATGCCCTTAAACACAATATTAAAAAAGTTAATTACGCAAAAATAATTAACGAGTTAATTATCCGGGACTTTAATACTTTTCTTAAATGGGCCCCTGGCCCAGGACCAAAACGCCACAAGCCTTTTTTCGTTGGGATGAGTAGTTTTCGCAGGAGCGATTTGGCCTGCGTTTTCTGAAACACCCTGTATATATATATATATATATATATATATATATATATATATATATATATATATATTGGAAAAGGTACTTTAGGTCACCACTAGAATATAAAATATTTTTTGACCGAATTCGGGAGGGTCGAATTTAGTCCTGGATCGTTTGGCAATGAATGGTGGTGATGGATGCAACTAAACACAGGGTTTAGCTTGGCGCTGGTTTCTAATGGATTGTTTCCGTGACTAAATGGTTTCAAGGGAGATCAGATAGCATTCTCTATGACATTTAAATATACAAAACACGTTAATAACGCGTAACTGTGTGTATAAGTAGTGAAAAGAAATAGAATTGTAACAATGATGTGGTTCAAAAAAAAACCCTTAAAAAAATTTTTAATGAATTTCTTTTGAAAGTTTATGGAGTCTACTCATTGTGTCTTTTCGAGTCTCAATAGAAATGCAAATGAGTTTTGTAACGAATCCGTAAGGAGTTTACGAAAACTATTGGCCACCGCGTTTCAATTGATGTTTCGACAAAGCTACCGCATAAAGTTTCTAATGTATTTCATATGAATATAATTTGAAAGTCTATTGACGCCGTTTCGAGTCTGTGTTGAAAAACAATTGATTTTTTGTAACGAGTCCCTAAGGAGTTTACGAAAACAATTGGCCACCGCGTTTCAATTGAGGTTCAGCCGTGCCACCTCATAAGAATTTCTAATACATTTCATTTGAAAGTCTAGATACACTGCTTAAAGTCTCTGTTGAAAATCAAATGTTTTTTTCTACCACGTTGTACTTGAGGTTTTGACGTGCCATCTCATTAGGTATATTCCGACGAGTCGGAATATACCTAACGAGATGGCCCATCAAAACCCGAACTGCAACGCAGAAGAAAATCGCAATTGATTTTCAACAGAGACTCAAAGCAGTGTATCTAGACTTTCAAATGAAATGTATTAGAAATTATATTCCTAGCGTGGGTTTCTAAATAGACGGCTCTAAGAGGGAAGACGGCAATAGGTTGCATGACATGTGGTCCAGATCTAACCGTTGTTTTGAG